GAAGATGAATCGCCAAAAAGCGTAGGGCAACGTGAGACAGCTCACTGGCATCACAAAATAAGTGCAGCTCGGTTTCAGCTACTTTGCTATTTGAGGTGTTATAAACACCTTGGAATCGCTAGGTTAGTTAAAGAATTCAGGTTATCGAACCACTCTCGCCAAATGCTTGCATCTGCGTCTGATAGACTCTCGTCCCAATCCAGACCCTTTCGCCACAGGTTCTAAAAAAGGATACTACTAAAGGTGCTAGGATTCTTAATGGATCGTAAATATACATCACTTCAGCTAAAACTACGCGCTTTGTCAGTTTATCTGACAATTCATTTTTCGGGCTTAAATTAAACCCAATAATATCCTGCGAGGGCTGCCAAATCAATCCCAATGTTCTAGAAAAGTTAGGTATCCCGAGATCTACCCTACTGCTTACTGTGACCTCAGGTAACAAATCCTTTGGCATCAGACTTAGTGCACCTGAGTCGTTCGAGATCCAGCCACGCATGAGGAAACCTCCGCGCTTATGGACCTCGACAATGTCGGCTGCCAAACGAGCTGCACCCTCAGTCGTATCGATACTGCCTATATAGTCGTCCATGTATGTACTGGCTCTGATGGTTTTTACAGCGTCCGGGAACTCCTCCCGAAATTCTGATGCGTTCAGATTGACTATGTTCATGGCAGTGGAGGGGCTAGAACAGGCTCCAAAGGTCATGGACGACATGCAGTAAATAGATATTGGGGATGAAGGATGGTCGCGCCAGATAAAACGATGCGCATCCCTATCCTCTTTCCGAATTTTGGTTCTTGATCGACAGTCGACATAAGTTTGGTCTGGGATCTTGTTAGAACCATGCTCACTAATATTTAATAGAATTATATTTTACTATTATTAGTTGGTTCATTATAATTACGACGAAGGATCACTATTTCCGTGACTAGATCGGGTTTATAATATATTTTTCTATATTATTAAAGAGAAACAACCTTGACAGCCAAAAGGAAAAATCTAATATATTTTATAAAACAAAATTATAAACAAAATCATGGACAAAATATTGCGATATCAAAAAGAAGTGTGCATTCGCCCACAGTGGGGAAGTAAGGACATAAACATAAGGGGTGAGATGTAAACTGAATATTTATCGAAACTAACCTTAACATCATGAATATTGGCACGGAGCCCACATTTATTAGCTCTAGATACCAAACGATCACAGATATAATACAGAAAAACAGACCCTGTTCCATATCGCAACCCCCGAAAAACAGATATAGCAAGGTACATACAACTGTCGACTAAAGCATTATACCATGAAATTTTTGAAACAAACGTACAGTTCTACACTTCATCACCTCTTAAAATCTATGAACTAACGTGTCCTACCATCGTACCGGAAGGCCTGGCTAAAAGTTCATGGTGGGGGTCAGAATATGAAAAACAACGTAAGGAACTCAGATTACTTTTCAACCGAGCGAAAAACACCAGAACCAATGAGGACTAGGACAGATATGAATTAGCACAAAACACTACTAGAAGCGAATCAGATTCGCGGCTTTTGTAGTAGTGTTAATTCAACAAATCAAGCTGCCAGACTTAAGGAAGTCCAAGGACAATTCCAACCTCCTTGAGTCTCTAAAAAGGGAAGATAGCACTTATACCGAACAGAAGAAGTCAATGCGGTGCTACTGGAAACCCACTTCCCAGGATGCTACCGGCACCTGGCCTTGAGTGGTTGAGTGAGCACCACAATGCACCAAGAACCCAGGAATGGGACCTGGCAAAAACGATAGTAACGGCGAAAAGGACAGAATGGGCTCTAAAGAGCTGTCAACCATTGTTGCTGCTCCATTGCAAGCTGTATCTTCCCGGTGCTACTACAATGGTAACTCGACCAAGCAATTAAATACCTACAATCAATCTTTAGGACCTGCCTGGACGTCAAGTATATACCGAAACCATGAAGGGAGGCAAAAGTAGTGATTTAACCGAAACCGGGAAAAACAATTATACACAAGCCAAATCCTTTAGACCAATTAGTCTAACCTCTTTCCTTTTGTAAACATTGGAAAGACCGGTAGACCGACACCTTAGGTATGGAGCACTTTGTAAAGCTCCGCTGCACCCTCAACAACAGGCCTACAGAAAAGGCAGATCAACAGAGTTGGCACTGCATGCAGTAGTTCACAAAATAGAGTCGTTAATCACAAACAAAACCTTAACAAAGGCAACCTTCATAGACATGTAAGGAGCTTTTGACAAAACGATGCACAACAGCATTAACCACGCCCTAAGAAAATTTAAGGTGGACCAAGTCACTAGAGGTTGTATTACCGAACTGATCGGCAAAAGGACGGTTCAGATAGTGGGGAATACTACCACGCGTGCGAATGTAGTTAGAGGATGCCCCCAAGGGGGAGTCCTATCACCACTTCTCTGGAACATAGTAGTAGACAGTCTCCTAAGGAGTCTGAATAATAGAGGATACACTACTATTGGTTATGCGGACAACCTAACAATTCTGATAAATGGGAACGCTAAAAATGTCCTTTGCCAAGTTATGCGTTCAGCCCTTCAGATTGTGGAAAAATGGTGTAAACGAACATCACGTCCGTAAACCAGAATAAGACAGAGCTTGCCCTTTTCACCAACAAAAGGAAGTTACCCGAACTACAGTAACCAAAACTGTTCAATACCAAACTCTCCCTATCAACACAAGTGAAATATCTGGGCGTATTGCTTGTTAACAAACTGAATTGGGCGAGTTATATTGAATTAATTAAAAACAAAGAAGGCCTGCACAGCTTTTAATCAGTGTAGAAGACTAGTTGGTAAAAAATGAGGTCTTTATCCAAAGATCACTGTTTGGTTATACACAGCAGTCATCAGGCCCTCAATAACTTACGGTTCAGTTGTTTGGTGGTCCAGGAGTCAATTGACCACGGTGAAATCCAAATTCAAAAGTCTACAACGCTTGGCGAGCATAGCAACAACTGGATGCATGAGAACAACTCCATCGGCTGCATTAGGGTTCCTCTTGAACCCCCTGAAGACCCGTAGACCTGGTCATATAAGAAGAGGCAAAAGCAGCAGCCTTAAAATCTCTAGGCTTATGGAGATTAAACAATGTCATAACACACTCCAATATTTTACAACCGTGCACGAAGGAGATCCCACTCCTGGAGGGACCTATGGATAGAATGTTGGGTCAACACGTCTTTGATCGAAGATAAGACATCCACTTTACCGCGGAAAAGGCAAAATACTCTAGGCCGGGGAAGTTAGGATATACACACATGGCTCCTAAACCAACAGTGGTACTGGAGCCGGTGCGGTGTCTTCTCGAACGGCCTGAATATAAAAATATCTACAACCTTAGACAAACTAAGCACAATCTTCCAGGTGGAATGTATTGGTATTACCTGAGCGGCACAGGCGATTGTAGCCAGAGACATCAGAGTTTAACATTAAAATCATCTCTGACAGTGCATCCGTGCTACAAGCCCTACGTAGTAACACAATAAACTCTGTCCTGGTAATGATGTGTCACAATGCACTTCACTCCATTGAGGTAACCCATACGGTAACTCTGCAATGTATAAAAGGATACAGCAACTCTATCGGAAACAATGGACTGCCTAAAAGAGGAGCAGACACAAAAGTGTATGGCCCGGAACCCTTGCTGCCCATACCTCAGGCCCAAATTAAAACGTGGCTGCATGAAAGAACTTGGAAATCACACTTGTCAGAGTGGAAAACAGGTGAAGGATGCCGACAAACAAGAGACTAGCCCGTACCCTTACCAGACTAAATAGGAACTAATTCCGCAAGATTATAGGAACCCTGACTGGTCATTGTCCCCTAAACAAACACCTTTATACAATAGGAGCAACGGACATCCCCTATGCAGAGGATGCATGGAGGCACAAGAAACGCCACAGCATATCATCATGGAATGCAGGAATGTGGCCGACCAACGGGGGCACCTCCAGTCGCCAGATTCGCTTCCGGAAGCTTGCAGCAGTCTGCCAAGGTTGCTTTCCTTCTGGACTAACTTAGGCTGGCTGGAGTAAACGGGAATGTTTCGAGACACGCATAATGGTCCAATAATTAGGACTAAGTGCGGAAACCTCCCTGAAAAACTAAACTATATATATAAGTTTGTAGAGAAACTATTCAAGATTGATTTAAGACATAAATGAAGCCTGGGTGTACATTGGGATTCGAATAATAAAGAGGAAAATCTGTTGAAAAACAAACAGCCGAGAGGATAATATATTTACGTAGATAGGGGAACTAGCTTGGCAATGTAGTGTTGTATTAGCCGAGGAAAAAAAAGGACCTCAAAGTTATAGGGATTTTCCGCTATAATTCTAAATGCATATTGACACTAATCCCTATATTGCTTTACTTATACTGTGTACTAGAGCCGGGTGCGGGTCGTGTTCAGTGTTCCAAGTCAGTGGTTCTTCATCAGTCGCCGCGGGAACTCACTATCGCGAGCCTGGAGAAACGGCGGGAGATTTATTCAGTTATTTATTAATCTAATTTCACTAGAAAGGGTTGTGCGCGACCAATTTGTTTGAGTGACTACTCACTCCAAATGAATCTTTTTCGTGATAATTTGTGTTGCAAATAAAAGAAACATTATAAAAATCAAAAGTTCATATATTCAAATGTGTGAATACAAATATATTTACTGCTTTGTGTAAAAAAAAACTTAAATGCAAACACAAAATAAGAACATACTTTTAAAACAAGGTGGTTTAGTGACATAACTTGAGAATGTTATTGCAAAGGTAACAGCTAGGTTGGAAATTACATATTTGTAAATCTCATAGCTAAAAAAATTTAGAAGTATACAAGTACTCATACTCATAAAAAAAACTTAACAAAATTTACTGTATTTATGTCTTTTAGAAACTAATAATATTCTAATGAGACAAAAAGAAAATAAGTTTGTATGAATACAACTTAATTAAGTAATTGATAACAACTAATATTATTATACAAACAAAAAACCAACAAGAAGCTCAACAGTTCAAATTCATAATTTGGGTTGTCTAATCGGATTTAATTTCTCTGTTGGTAACAGTCTGACAACACAATCAGTGCAATAATCTGTGCCAGTATTATCGGTCCACCTCGCTCCGAGGAATCCAGTTTTCTGACAACCAACACACATAGTTTTTGTTTGGTAAACGGGAGTGGTTTCATCCAGCAACCTTTGTTCTTTTGCAGCTTTTAATAAATCAAGTATATATCTATTCCGATTGCTAGTGTCCAATACAGAGGAACTCTCTAGATCATTATTCTCATAAGGATCATCCATTTTGACAGGCACATGTAGTTGAGGGAAAAAGGTTGACTTTTTATAGAATGTAGACTTTTTCTCTCGTGCAACACCTTTTGGTGCCCTACCTGGGATCGGTAAGCCAGCTTTTGCTAATTTAGCAAAATATTTTTGGACCCTACACATCACCTGTATAGGTGTTCTTGTACCAAGATCCCGGGCTATTTTCTTGTACCTTCTTGCTTCAATGGGCTCTTCAGGATAAATTTCAAGTAGTTCTTCCAAGCGCTTTTGTTCTTCACACGACCATAACTGGTTAAATGTTTCAGGTTTACTATCTGTGAACTTTCTTCCTCTCACTAATAGACTGCTGTCTTCATCAGTTTTGTTTGACTTTAAATCATCATTTTCTAGGGACAAATCAATTTTATAACGAGCCCAATCAATGTTCGGCAAATCAGCAACAGATTGTCGGAGTGGAAAATTAACATTTCCTGATTGCAAATTTTTGACAAATTTCACAGGATCTTCTAAAGCTTTATTTTGGGCTTCAGCCAACTCTTCTATGTCTTTCAATGCATTAATCTTTTGTGCTTCCAATTTCACAATATATTTAAGTAAATCACAATAATCTTTGTTTCCACGTAAAGCTAAATGATCAGTTTCAAATGCAAACTCTCCATCAGACTCGAAATTTTCTGTTTCAATGTCCTCCATAGTAGCTCTGTAAAAGATAAACTTTGTGTCATATATTACAATAGCTGTATACAAACTCATACATAATAAAATGTTTCTGTATGCAAACTAGATAAAAAATGTTTTAAGAACTAAGAAAATAATGTCGAGTGTTAAAATACAAAACAGTCCCAAAAGATTAAGCTTAAAACTAAAAAATAAACTGAATAACGTGCACCACAAAAAATGCAAACCTGAGCACAGAAGCGCTTCTTTAGAAGGATGGGCAAGTCGGTAAGTGAGATTTAACTCTCTAGTATTTAATAATATTAAGGTGTCTCTTGCACTTTACATAGATAAATAAAATTTGTTTTAATCGCACAACAGTTTTCAACCAAAATAAATGTATAAAATGCCTGGTAAAAACAAACCAAAACAACCACGGAGTTCTGAACTGGCAATATCTGTCACTGTCAACACTGTCATGTCATAGTAGCTACAACCATAGAGTTAAGGGTAGCTCCTCGATAATACGTTCATCACTCACAAAAGAAAGCATTTATGACTGTTTTGTTGTGCTTAGGTATTCCTAAACTTACGCGAATACTGCGCCATCTATCAAAAGCATAAGGCACTAAACAAAATACGCCTTAGCGAGAGGGCGCTGTACACTGCTTTTATTTTATGTAAACTTCTGAACAACGGTTCAGAAAGTAGTGTAGAGATGGCGTTATCAAACGTAGGTTTAAATAACTTATTTGTTCAGCTTATAGAATTTACACTTTTCACAGCAGCGCCTCTAAAGGAAAACTATTGTAATTTTTAAAATGAAGTAGATGCACATAAACGATATAATTTATAGAATAAGTAGGGACCTCTAATAAAATTTATTATTTTCGGATTCTGTAGCCAGCCTTATTAATATTTATCAAAAAATATACTTAGATTATAATTTTTATTATTTTTAAAGCATGTAACTGCTTGATGTTTAAATCTAAAGAAAATATAACTAGAAAAAATTCCACGCGGACCAGGCAGCAGACGGGACTCGAACCCGCACCCTTCGCAATCCGGGCGAATGCACTGACCAATTATGCTACCGCGGCCCTCACGGACCGCGTCGAAATTCTCTCTAGCTATTCTTAAGCTGCAAGGCAGCGCCATCTCTTCGCATTATAGGTAAACCCACAATATACTTAGATGTTTAAATGATTTAGGTAGATACCTACATATGTATTTTATTTGACCCACCCATTTCCGATTCCGATTCCGGTTTCCGATTAAGCTGATGTTTTTGGAAGTTGTACGTGAATTGGATATCAAATGCTAGGTTGGAAATGACCTGTCTTTTATTAATATTTACTCATATTAACAACAATAGCTGAGAATAATGCAGAATAATGCGCCCCCTTTTTCAAAAATTTTGACAAAAATAATTTTTCATTGTATAGACTGCTACAAAAATATAGAAGAAAAAAATGGGTGCGTGTACTTATGTAGGCGCGCGAGAAGTTATCCTTCTTTGGCATCGTTTAAAATTAGTTTTTAATTGCATGCAAATAATTAATTACAATAAATTAATAAAAAGTCTGGAAAAGGACACAGTCAATAAAGTTCAGTTTCAATTTGAAAAAATAAATAAATAATCAGAATATTCAATTAAAATCGCTACTGAATATAATTTATTAGAACATATGTATGTGATTTGCACTTGTATGAAACTCAAACACGTATTCCGAATATACAAACTAGAAACATGTGGATAAATATTATAAATATGAATACCTATAACTGTTACTTTATTACAAAAAATAAAGATGTGGTTTTTGGTTCTACTACACCAATGGTCAAGAGATGGCGCTGTAGTCTCCTGAATCGCGCTTTGGTTCCGTTGTTCCAGATTAATAAATACTTTTGATAGGCCTTCACAATGCAGTCGTTAGCACCCACTAATTAGAGATTCTATTTCTATTTTGTTGGTAGATTTTCTTAATGTGCGGTAAACACAAAAGTAACGGATGAAGTTGGTCGCTAAAGCGACCAACTTCATGCTGTTAAAATTTTGTGTTACAGTGATGCGCGCGCATCTTAAAATTTCACTCTCATCATTTTTCATAACGCGCCTAAAGAAGTATAACTTCAATAAATCACATAAATAAGCAAGCATGCACGTACCTATAGTCCATTCACTTTGGCGTGAGACAAAATGTAAACAAACCATAAAATGGATACTTTTTAAGGTCACGTTTGACAAAAGCAAAGATTAAATACTATTTACATAGGAAATGCAGCGAAAATTTAAGTTAATTATTTTAAAACCTGTTACATACATATGAATAATAAAATAAAATATTTTACATTACATTCAACGTACATTCACATCATAAATTCGTATATTTTTAATTTGCTGGTAAAAGTATTTTAACAACTTAAGTTGACATGGAAAAAGACCTAAAAACACAATCATTCCCAAACCTAAGACGTATTATAATACGATAAAATTTAAGAGTAGACATGATACAAGTATTTTACGTTGCAGTGTTGTGTTTTGTAATCGGTTGGTTTATGTCAGCCATCTTTACTCTCCCGATCAACCTGTTGACGCGAGTGTGCTTAATCAATCTTATTTGTTAAATTCTTGTTATTTCCTTATTTTATTTGTTGAGTTTGTTGTTATTTTATTTACTGTTAAGTTTAAAGTTGTTTGTGATTGTTTTCTTGTTAAATTGACGTTTTCGCAGCTATAGTTATGAGTGGTGAACCGGGACCAAGCAGCTCTTGTACATTTTCTTCGCCGAAGGAAAAGCGTACAAAGAGTGGACCATTGCGCTCCAACGAAAAGGAGCTCGTGATAAATGTTTTTAAACATGTTGAAGAAACCTGGCCAAAAGATTCCTATCCATATAAAAGTGATATAATCAATAAATCCGCCGAAATACTGGAAATATCACGAGCTACTGTTTACCGGTTGGTGAAGGAAAAGAAAAGTACTGGCCGTATCTCATCACCTCCGCCTCCGCCATTTAAAGTATCTTTGTTGGATACATTGGACGATATGGATAAAGCTGCGATACGCCGCAAAGTCCACACATTTTTTTTAATAAGGAGATGCCCACCGTGGACAAAGTATTGCATGCTGAGAATACAGATGAAACTTTGCCCAACTTTAAGAGGACCTCTTTTTTCAAGTTTATGAAATCTTTACAATTGAAATATCCGAAAGAGTGGGCTTATTGAAAGAGATGACATTGTTTTATGGCGCGTCAAATATTTAAATAATATTCTAAATCTCAGGAGCGAAGGTAGCTATTTATTACACTGAAGAAACTTGGATAAATGAAGGTTAGTAAAATACAATATTAAACTACTTTATCCTGTGGGAAATTTACTTCTGAATGAAATTATATTTCATTTTGTATTCATAAACTGATAAACTAAATTCATATTTTTTATTGTTTATCATCACAGCACTAAAATATATTAATTTCTATGCACATAATTTTATTATAATCTTTTTATAAATATTGAATGATACTTATTATTTTCATACCATGTCTTTATCCTGTGAAAATGTTACTCAAATATGTTGTGTCATGTTACCAATTGTATTAAATTATTATTGTTTTTATTTTTCATAAGTTGTTAATGAACTTATATTTGTTACAGGACACACTATGAACAAAATTTGGCAAGATCATACAATTAAAACTGTGAAAGAAGCTCATCGAGAGGGATTGTCAATAGGATTGAAAAACCCAAGTGGAAAAGGGAAGCATCTGATTGTATTGTACATATGGGCACAAGTCAAGGGATATGTTGGTAAAAATAATAAAACATTTAAGATGACTGAAATTAAAAATTAGCCGATGCCTTACAATCAATCACAGCTGAATCGTGGAAACGTTGCATTGACCATGTCATTAAAGAAGAGCAGAAAATGCTGAAATTGAATGGTATTGTTGATGATGTTGTGGATAAATTTATTATTAAAGTTGGTGGCAGTGCATCCAGTGAGTTGTCAGACAGTGAATAAATATTATTTGCAAAGTATTATGCTGGTTTCATTTGAAATACACATTCTTTTATTATATTTATCATCAAGACAGAATTCATTATAATTTTAATATAGGTTACATAAATTATACCTAATCATCGACTAGTAGGTACTTTCTGACATTATAAAAGTTTTAGAACCTCAGATTCTTTGTTTACATTTTGTCTCAAGCCAAAGTGAATAGACTATATGTATGTATATGTATGTGTATGTATTATACTTTGACCGAGTTGATCAGAAAAACGTAAACAATCATTAAAACTGACTGTATGTACTTAAATCTTAAGTTTTAATTTTGTTTTAAGCATTTATTTAAAGTAATATTTATAATATTGTAGTTGGGTAAGGTAAGTAGGTAGGTGTACCTACCTACCTACCACCAGATTCATTCAGTTCTGATCGCTCGGCCCGCTGGCGGCCCCTAGGGCCAGGCGCCCGGGTGCGGCCGCACCTAGCGCTCCTATGCCAATGACGCCCCTGAGTAGCTGAGGTAATTATATACATTTCTTTCTTCTGTTGTACACGAATTGGTGCTGAGAATCACTAAGAACTCACAGCGTCATTTCCACCCGTGCCCGCTGCGACTGCGGCAGCGCGGTTGTTTACGGCACGCGCGTTGGGCGTTCGATATTCTTTTGTAAAGTTAACGTGCGTTCCCTGGCTGCGGCTTTGATAATTGAGCTGCGGGTTCACAAAAAAACTGCGGTCTCGAGAGTCTTATGGCGCCCCTTAGTTTTTCATATCTATTTCAACATAAATTTCTTTTTCTGTGGAAAGTTTCTCGAATTGCCCCTTGCTACTGGGCGCCTAAAGCGACCTCAGGACCGGCGTTTGTAATAAAGCCACTTAATCCAATGTTTTAGACTCGTTTTTCGTTTGGCAAGGACTCAGGCTCAAGCACGAAGTTTTGACAGCTCCGTAACATATCGCATCGTCAACGCCTTTTCTTGATAACAAAATGGCGATTACATAAATAACATTCACGACAAACCGTGAATTTTGGGAAAAAAAAATTAATAGATTTGAAACGAATGAAGTGTTGCCAAAGCATTTGTAATTTGATTTTGAACTATTTGTGTTCTTTATGAAAGCATCGAAGTCGTTGTTTTATCTGTATAACACGGAATATACGCAATATCGTTATATTGGGTGCACATGCAGCGTGTTTGAATGTCCAATTGTGACTAAAGCGAATTGTGGTCATGCACCACAATTTAAGCGGATCGCTTTTGACCCGCTAGTGCCGTATCAGCTTTTTGTTTTAATATAAGATGAAAACTAAGCAGCGTCCAATGGGGATGTTGGAACAAACTAGCTTTTTCCATACAAAATTTGACGATATCGAAACTTTACAGAGCTTTCAAAAACTCGTGTTTGGGCCTCTGGCCCTTGATGTATCCAGTGTTTGATGTAA